TGGATGTCTAATTATAGGGTAAGGCAGAGTGTGCTCTTCCTGTCTCTCCTGGGCCAGCATGGAAGTACCGCATAGAGTCTACCTCACTCCCTATTGCAGAACTAGTCTTATGGTTGATGGTGGGAATTGTAGACATCAGATATGGAACTCATGCCTTCCTCAGGATTTTTTTTTGTGTAGCTTTTAGAACTCTTTGTTTTATGAGTCTGGGAGTCATTAATCAGAAGTACCTCTTCCTATAGATATTACAAGAGTATGTTAATCTGGTGGAAGATGCGGACACAAAGTTGAACTTAGCCACCAAATTCAAGTGCCATGATGTCGTCATTGATGTGAGTCCCTAAGAAAGGAGAAGCCTGAGTTAGACCCTCAGTGGAGAGTGGGGGATTATGATCTTCTCTGTCTAGATCCTATGGTACTTCTTTCAATTTTGGCTTTAACAGACAAGATGATCTGGCAAGAGTTAGTTTGGAGACCTGTTCTCCTGTATTATTTTCCCAGCCCTTTGACCTCTCTTTTTTTATAAATTTGTTGCATTCAGAGAATTCATAGAACTGAATCCAGCCACATGAGCTCTTCAGTAAGAAATTCTGTAGGTGCCTGACCCCACTGTCCTCCCACTGTAGCCTCTCAGTCTCTCCTTGAACCTTGGCCCAGTGTTGGGAGTGGCAGGAAGAAAAAGGCCCTTGTAGAGAAGGCTCATTGGAAGTTTTATTGCTGTGTGTTGGTACAGACTTGCCGGGACCTGAAGGATCGTCAGCAGTTGCTAGCATACAGGAGCAAAGTGGATAAAGGATCTGCAGAGGAGGAGAAGATTGATGCCATTCTGAATAGCTCGGTAAGCAGCTACAGTTTACCTCCTGCAGGCAGTCTCAGGAGATGATCCCCAAAGTAGCATCAAGTATATATTCCCAAGGCCAAGATGGGGTCACAGTTAGCTGAGCATCATAGATATAAGAATCTGTGAGCCTAAGGGTCTGAAGCGCTGCTTTGAAAGGCAGAAATTACTCCTGAGATGTGGGATGATCCAGGGGTAATCTGGGGACCTTGGGCAGAGATTTCACATAGTACCTTGATAATTGTTAAACACATCAGGTAGGAGGTACATGCCCAGGGACAATGGGAATGACTGCTGCAGACGCAGAATATCCAGATGGTAGTTTTCTGGGGCCAGGTGTGATCTACTGGTTGGAAGTAAGTGGCTAACACAGCTTTTAGCTATTTGGGCAACACAACTGACTCATCTCTCATAGCATGAAATTACTGAGCTTTTTGTTAACATAGAGCTTAGCTCCCTGTTAGATATTTGGGAGCCTACCATGGAGTCATCTAAAGCTAGTGAATCTTGGTCCTGAGGAGGGCAGAGCCAGAATAAATGCCCTAAATCAGGCTTGTAAGATACAGAATGGGTATTTAATTCATCTCTGAATAAGCAAACTCCCCTACATATTAGAAAAGCATTTTTCAACTTCCCCCTCCATTCTCCTTATTCTTACTTCACCTAGCTGTGAGCCTTGTTTTATTGTATTCCCCTGCCTGTCTGTAGGGGTCAGTGGAAACTGATCATTGTTTGTTCTTTTCCACAGCAAATTCGATGGAAGAATTAAGTGGCATTAGCTACCCTGAAACCTGCCTCATTTCTTCCTTTCCTGCCTATAGTAGAGAGTGCTCTTTGTTGGGAGAATTACAGTATCACATCGCTTTGGACCCATCATCAACAAGCAATGTCTGCTACTTTTAGGACAGAAACCAGCGTCTGGGCACAGACAGCTTCAGACTGATCTTCTGTCCAAGAATCATCATCTAAGGGCCAAGATCTAAAGCTCTGACTCATGAGAAAGATTCTCTCCACCTGGTGCTCAAGTGAAGGTGGGAATAATTTCTAGATTGGGCCCATATTGGGCAAGATCTCTCTTGGTCTGGGAAAATGACTGCTCTAGAAAAGAAGTCTCCTAGACTAAGAGGTCAGGGATCATAGGATGGCCACTCCATCCCTCTCAGCTAATTATGACCCTGGATTTGGTGCTGGACATTGGCAGTTCTGCTCTGAATGAAGTCAGAATAGAACCAAAATGGCTCTCTCTCAAGGGACCTCAGGAAGGGGTGCCAGTATAGCCAGGAGCTGTTGGAGGTGCCCTCACACCAGACTGCACAGAGTCCTCCACATAATGACAGAGAGTGCCCAGACGTCGTGTTTCTTCAGCCAGTGTCCTTCTGCTGCCCCAGTCTAGCCTCTGTTCGAGACTTGTGGTTCCTCTTTCACCTGCACACCAAGATGGCCTTGTGTGGGAGATAAGGACATCCCTGTTATCTACTTCTGTTTCCTCTACTTCTCCCACCCCAGACCCGTAACTTTATATGGAGCTAAGATTCAGCAGTGCTGGAGAGCTCTTCCTTTATGCACAAATCTCATTATTTCACTAGGAGCTTTCAGAAGGTCCACCAGGGCTAAACTCAGCAGCATTTCAGACAGTTAGGATATTAATTAAGATGGAGGTTTTAGTTTCACACTTGGTTTTCAAGAGGGTATTCTGGAGTGCTAGCCTCCTGCTCTGTACCAATAGAAGCCTCTCTTCTCTATAACTGAATTGGGTTTCCCCGACATGCCTAGACTCCTAATAAAGCTATTTCTTCCTTGGTGCCTTCTCTTTTCCCTCCCAATTGTTTTGTGCAGAACAATGAAATAATTGCCTTGTCTCTTGGGACCACTACAAACCTGCCTCAGTGACCGCATTCAGTAGTCTGTCAACACACGTCAGGTCATGGAGTAACAGTGCTTATGGCAAAGTACAGCCATGTGGTTAACAGAGCACTGTACCTGGAAACAAAAGACCTGGCCTCTTGTCCCAGCTCTGCTGCTGACAAGCTGTGTGATGTTGGGTGAATCCCTTTCTCTCTGGACTCACTATCTTAACCTGTCATAGGGGGGCATGTTTCTCTTGGAACTTGTAGAAGTCTATGCTCCTGTGACTGTGCGGAGCAGGTGAAGGGGTAGAAAGAAGAGATGTTGTATAGAGGCACAGAGCATGCTTAAATGCATGTGGTTCTCAACTGGGAGAATTTGGGCCCCAGGAGACTGTCCAAATCTGGAGAAGCTTTGTTGCTACAACAAAACTGGTGAATGCTACTGGCATCAAGTGGGTAGAAGCAAGGGATGCTGCTAAATATCCTACCATGTAGGACAGCCCCCGCCAACGAAGAATTATCCTGCCCAGAATGTCAGTAATGCAAATGCTGACAAACCCTGCTTTCGGGGGATTAGACTCTATCTCTTGCTCCTCCACTTTGAGATCCCCTTTGCAATTCCAGGTAACCTCATAGTTCCTTCCCTAACCATCTGTCTTGCTGTTCAAGAAACAGGATTTGCTAAATTGTGCTCAAGTTATTTGCCGATAACAAACCGCATTAACCTTATTAACTAGTATATCAGGGTTCATTTAGAGAAGCAGAATGTCTAGGAGCATATAGTCTGTCTATATGTGGGATTCATTACAGGGATCTGACTTTACTCAAGTATGGCCATTGGTTAAACAGGCTCTAGAAGGTTGTCTTCGTATCTGGTGGTAGAGGTGGATGTCCATAGGGCAGGCATTGGGGAAGGGAAGATGAATAAAATGTGAGGGAAAGCAAGGACAACATGGAGGCCATGAGGCTGGACAGGAACCTGTGTCAGCTGTCACCGCCTCCAATGTTGAGGATGTGGGTGTCCTGCAGGCAAAACTAGCTGGTGGTCTTTGTCACGAAACTGAACACAAACCTGGCCCAGGAGTGTGAGAAGCTGTAAGAGGATCCAGGGGAAAGTGTAGTGATCATGGGTCCAGCTGCTGCTCCGCATCAACACAGTCGCCAGCAAAGTACCTGCCCAGGCCTTGTAAGCAAGCAACACAAGCTGGCTGCTGCTTCAGCCTTCCAGATCCTGTGCAAAAGTCTTGTGGCACACCCTAACTGGAAACATTGAGGGAAGGGAATTCTGGGAAATGTAGTTCAGCTTCGCCAAACTTGACATGTTACCAAGCCACAACCACTGGATCCACATTTTTGAGGATGTATTAGTGAAGGATGGGCCTAGGATCCACGCCTGTACAGGTTAACCAGTGCTGAGTGGGGAGGTTTTGAACTTGTCTTTCCTTTGGAACAATAAATATCACTTGCAACATTAGGATGACCTACTCGCTGTTTTGATCAAAGGAAGTATTTCTCAGACTTGATGAGAATTTCCATACTCTTCACTTCAAGTGCTGAGATTGTGAGTGACATAGGAGCCCTTCTATGCAAAGGATTAGAGAAGCCAGCCACGACAGGTCACATATTGTATGGCTCTAGTCACATGAAATAGCGAAAAAAGGTAACTCCACAGAGACAAAAAGATTTGCGGTGCCAGGGGCTGAGGAGGGTGGCGAGCAAGTGGGGGGTAACTGCTTAATGGGTACAGGGTTTCCTTTCACTGGGAGGATAAAAATATTTTAGAACTAGAGGTTCCAGAGCATGTACAACACTGCAAATGTACTGAATTGTTCACTTCCAAATGGCTGTGTTATGTGAGTTTTACCTCAATTTCTTTTAATTTAAAAAGTAGATTTGAGGGGTGCCTGGCTGGCTCAGTCCATGCAGCATGAGACTTTTGATCATGAGTTCGAGTCCCACGTTGGGTATAGAGATTACTTTTTAAAAAGTGGATTAGAGAATTGAATAGTTTTGATTTCTGGTCTCAATTTTGCCATTGCTATAAAATAGAGTTCTGAATATCACTGATTGTTTTCCCACCGTTACTGAAGTATAATTGACAAATAAAAATTGTATATGTTCAAGGTATACAGCATGATGATTTGCTATATATATTGTGAAATGATTACCAGAGTCCAGTTAATTAACACATCTGTCATCTCATATAGTTCCCTTTTGTGTGTGTGGTGAGAACATTTAAGATCTATTCTTAGCAAATTTCAAGTATATAATCTAGTATAATTAACTATAGTCACTATGGGGTACATTATATCCCAAGAATTTACTTGTCTTATTCTTCAGTAGCTTGAATACAAAAAGAAGAGGTATGAAAAATAACACCTTGAGTAGTGCTGGGATCTGTATGATATTCCAGTCTGGGAAAAATCTAGATGTCCAGAACCTTCTGTTAGGAAAGGGAGGATCCCATACTGCCCTGGTGTAGTGCTCCTAGGAGAAGCAAAAAGAATTCCTGTCCTCATGAGGCAAGTCCAGAAAACCTCTGGGTGGGGCTGGCCCCTTTAAGGCTCAGAGACTGAAGTAATCTGGTAGCTAAGGAGTCATAATGACAACTTTCTTGGGTAATTCTCTCTAGAAATGTAGTTCTTACTCTCCACGACCAGAAGTACCTAGGAGTAAAGCCACCTTCTCCTCATTTTGGTTGGTGAGAGAGATATGTAAATGGGCTTACATATCTCTGGCTTCATTTTCTAAAACTCTAGATGTCCTTGGCCTAGAAAAGAGACCATGTTAAATTTGGGCCCTTTCCTATTCTGTGGGGAACACAGAGTTGAGTGAAAGGGAAGAATTCCTTTGAAGTGGTGTGTACATGTTCAGTCCTATTTCTAAAATCTTGGAGGGAATAGAAGGGACAAGGCCCTGGCCCACAACCACCTGTGAAACCCACTGCTAAAGTAAATGCATCTGCTGAAAAACGTGGCTGTGTAGCCTATGTAGATGACCATCACTTTGGATTTTTGTTCAGGTTTTTCATGAATCCAGATATTCCTGCTCCGCGAGCAGTCAGAGCTTAGGAATCCTCCAGGACTCACGCTGCAAGTACAGAATCTGAGAGGAGAGAGGTGCTGAAGCCCACCATCACAAGAGCTTGTGACTGGGGCACACACCTTCCTGCGTAGACTCCCTTGTCTTCTAAGAGAGGGAGCCAAACTGATTGGTATCTATCACTGCAGGAGATGGTGGCTTGGAAATGGACTTGCTTGAGGACCTTGAATCCCTGCAGTTTGAGTATGGGATTCAAGAGGAAGACTGCAGCTGGCTGTATTTGCAGGGCCGTTCTCGAGGGCTGGTGATCAAGGCCTGTGCCCATGCAACTTTCTTCTGCAAGCTACTGTGTAATTTGAGGTAAGCTAGGTCTCCAAGGTCAGGCAGATGGAGAAGAATCCCACTGCAGAGAATCCAAACGACTTAAACTTTTTATATTGGAGGATAGACTTGGCAGGGGGAGTGTCTTCCTACCTTTTCCAACCCACAGTCAATCACTCCTGGTCTGAAAGCACCAGGAAATGCATACCAGAATCCCTTGGCTGTGGTTACATAACAAAGCATGGCTTGTGATTACCTTTTGGTGGGTAGATTGGTTAAATGATCATCAGTTCATTCATTCATCCATTCATCCCTCATTGGGACCACCAACTTGGCTTCTACAGCTACCACATCTAGCTATTCTCTGGCTATTGGCCGAAAATTTGGGGGCTAAGCTAATAGTGGAATTCTCCCTAACAGGAAAACCACCTGAAACTTTGGGGGTCCTTTTGGCCAGGTTACTTACATGAATACAGTATTCCAGAAATACTCTCAGTCTAGTCCTGACCTCTCGTGTCTTTGTACAACGCGGCTTCAGACACTTAAACAAGAAGTGTATGAGAGCGAGGTACTTAAGACAAGACTCCTGGATTCTATAACTCTAGGTTACTCCTTAACATTGGTAGCTCCCCTGCCACCAGACTACTTTCTCAGAAATTAGATCAACTCCTAGATGGTGGGACCAGATCTAAATTGAGCATGTTACAGATACAGCAGAAACTCAAAGAGGTAGTCTGCTTAATGAGTTTGCTGATTGGTTGACTGATAAGAATACATAAACCTTTTGGTTGCATCCCAGATGAGTGGTGAGAAATCAAAATATGAAACTTCCGGAGGCATTTTCTATTTGGGAGGATTGGACACAGAGGAAATGCTTTCCTTTCAACTTAGAAAACTTAAATAGAATGTGGCTTATGATGTATATATGGAAACTCCAGAGCTTAAGACCAATTTTTACAGAAATATAGAACAAATATAAGATAGTATAACAACAGAAAACAATGCCTTGTATATTCAGAGGTTAGACTTTGTTCACCTTGGGCCAAGGAAACACATCCAGAACCAGTAAGTGAGCCTCTGGAAAGAGTGGCCTCAAACCCTTGGTCCTCAGTTTCTCAGGTCTGTTTTCCCTTATACACCACTTTTATAAATCATGTTTGAAAAAAGCTAAGTTATCTGGTTCCCCAGATCTATGCAAAAGCGAAATAGCAAACTAGAAAGAGTAGGCGTAGGGTGAGAAAAGGTATGCTTATCATGATGTCAACGAAAATTGACAGCTGTCTGCATAGGAAACAGTGAAGGAACTGGCCCACAGTGTTCCAGGATGATGTATAAACAGTTGGCTGTTCACAGTGATAGTCCTGAGTCAAACAGTTCAATATTCAGATCTTGTGTCTAAGGCAGGGAAATGCACAGTGCATGTAACAACAACAACAACAACAACAACAACAACAACAACAACAAATGTTCATTTAAAAATGTTTTAAACAAGTTTCAGTCCCTTGAAGGGGTATGCTTTTCTTTCTGGAAAATTCACTCAGGAGAAACATTTCATTCCCTAGCGATACTGGAAAGTGGCACTTGATTGGAATGCCTTATCTCTGGAGTACTAAAGGTGCCACCAGGCTGCCATATGAGGAAGTTAAAGCAGAGAACACCAGAGGTTGACAGTTAAGAGCTACAGGCATATATTCATTTATGTGTCTGTGTGTTCCTTCTCCAGAGAATCATTACGTGAGAAGCACACTTCCAGGTGTCTCTTGACTGGATTGCTTGCTGACACTCCCGATGATGATGATGATGAGTTAAAGGTGGGCATCATTGGAGGTGGCCACCTTGGGAAGCAGCTGGCTCGTGCACTGCTTCAGCTTGTCCCCATCCCTGCTGAGAACCTGAGGATTTCCACTCGCAGGCCAGAGGCCCTGGGTGAGGAGCAGTGTGTGGTAGCTCTTTAGGTGTTGATGAGGCCATTTTGAAGAGGTTCCTTGAAGGAGGAACCCCTGCACGCAACACGCTGAGTTCTCTGCTTGCTAGCCCTGAGAAAAGCTAGGAAGATGTTTGTGTGTGTGTGTGTGTGTGTGTGTGTGTGTGTGTGTGTGTGTGTGTGTGTGTTTTAAAGGTTTTATTTTTAAGTAACTTCTGCACCCAATGTGGGACTTGAACTCACAATCCTGAGATCAAGAGTCTCAAGCTCCACCAACTGACCCAGCCAGGGGCCCATGGAAAGATGGGTTTTAACTTGTTCCTTAAAACAACTTTCTTCTCATGCTTCTGTTTCTCTTCAGATCAAATAAATCTTTTGCTTTTTACTGGAACTAAAAAAAAAGAGGAAAACTTTCTTCTCCCTGTAAATGTTTTATATCCATCTCTCCTCCCTGTGCCCTTGGTGATAAAATAGCTTTCTGAGTCTTTGATACAGAAAAGTTTTCTAAAGAGAGTTCAGATCTTCTCATTGGACCAGTTAGAGTCTGGTGGGTATTAACCAGTTCCAAACATTTGGCCTTGTGTTTTTAAAAATAACAATTACTAAATTTGAAAAAAATGTTTTATAATAATTTTACTTACTAGTCTATGATGATAGAGGTCAGAAGAGTGGTTGCTTCTGGGGAGACTGACAGAGGAGGGACCCAAAGGAACTTTTTGGGGAGATGAAAATGTTCAATATCTTGAGAAAGGTATGAGTTACATGGGTGTATGCATTTGTCAAAAATGATAAGACTAGATACTTCGGATGTGTGTGTGCCCTGTATATAAGTTATACTTCAGTAATAAAAGTATAACATAATTTTATGTATATTATAGGAAATTTAGAATATTCTATAATGAAGTAAATAATAACTATAATCCCCTTACCAGGGTTACCATTTCCTTCCTATATTTCTCTGCTCATATCAGATTATATCAGTAATTGATACTGTACAAAGTTGTTTGCATTCTCCATTTTTCACTTAATTTATCATAAGCATATTCTCCTATTACTTAACATTCTTCAAAATAATGCTTTTAAGGCTATCTAGTATCCCAAAATATGGCTGTATGGTAATTTATGTTGTATTTGGTTGGATTTCCTTGCACATACTTTAAAAAATAAAATTACTAGGTCAGAGAATAAGTACATCTTTATTAAGATATAATTTGTGTATAATTGCACATTTTCAAAGTGTACAGTTTGATGTTTTGACACATCTGTGTTTTGGCACATCTTTGTACACCTGTGAAACCATCAACACAATTAAGGTAATGAACTTATTCATCACTCCCAAAACTTTCCTTGTAATTTCTCTCTCTACCTCCTTGCAGCTCCCCATGAAACCACTGATCTGAATTCTGTCACCATCAATTAGTTTGCATTTTCTAGAATTTTATATAAATGGAATAATACAATTTGTACTTTTACATTCTGACTTCTTTCACTCTGCATAATTATTTTGAGACATACCCATTTGTTTCACATATTGATATTCTTTTTATATCTGAGTAGTACTTCATGGCATGAGTATTCCATAGTTTATCTGTTCAGCTGGTGGTGGACATCCAGGTGTTTCCTGGTTTTAGCTATTATACATAAGGCTACTATGTACATTTGTGTACAGATATTAGTGTGGACAAATGCTTCAATTTTTCATAGGTAAATTCCTGGAAGTGAAATGGCTAGATCGTATGGTACGTTGTTTAGTTTTTTAAAGAAACTTCTAATATAGTTTTTCAAATTGACTTCCAAAAAGGGATGTATGCTTTCACCAGAATTGTGTAAGAACACCCATTTCACTAAAGTGGGTGGTGGGCATTGAGGAGGGCACTTGTTGGGATGAGCACTGGGTGTTGTATGTAAGTCAATTTGACAATAAATGATATTTAAAAAAAAAGAACACCCATTTCACTATACTCTTGTCAGTTCTGGGAATCCTTTTTTTTTTTAATAATCATTTAAATATGACTAAAATTTTTCTTGTTTAATATATTCTTCATTGATCACTAGAAGAACTGAATTTTTTTTTCAGGTTATAAAGGTGATTTATTTATATTTTTTTCAATATATGAAGTTTATTGTCAAATTGGTTTCCATACAACACCCAGTGCTCATCCCAAGAGGTTCCCTCCTCAATACCCATCACCCACCCTCCCCTCCCACCCCCCATCAACCCTCAGTTTGTTCTCAGTTTTGTTTTTTTTTTAATTTTTTTTTCAACGTTTTTTATTTATTTTTGGGACAGAGAGAGAGCGTGAACGGGCGAGGGGCAGAGAGAGAGGGAGACACAGAATCGGAAACAGGCTCCAGGCTCCGAGCCATCAGCCCAGAGCCTGACACGGGGCTTGAACTCACGGACCGCGAGATCATGACCTGGCTGAAGTCGTACGCTTAACCGACTGCGCCACCCAGGCGCCCCAGTTTGTTCTCAGTTTTTAAGAGTCTCTTAATGCTTTGGCTCTCTTCCACTCTAACCTCTTTTTTTTTTTCCTTCCCCTCCCCCATGGGTTTCTGTTAAGTTTCTCAGGATCCACATAAGAGTGAAACCATATGGTATCTGTCTTTCTCTGTATGGCTTATTTCACTTAGCATAACACTCTCCCAGAAGAACTGAATATTTTTTATAGGTTTATTGCTATTTTATCTTTTTTGAGTTCTTTTTGTTCAACTTTTGTGTGGAATGCTGAACATTTTTTTCTAATTTTTTTTCTTATTAGTTTGCAAGCATTCTTTCTGTATTAAAGAAACTTGAAAAAAATCTTACACCCAAGACAAATCTCTTAAATCTTATCAATAGGACTAGTATATGTGATATTTCAATAAGGTACATATATTCCTTGGAAAGCACTATATTTTTTAATAATAAAATTGCAGTTTTTAAAATTAATTAACTAATTAATTTAAGGGCATGAGCAGGGGAGGTGCAGAGAGAGAGAGAGAGAGAGAGAGAGAGAGAGAGAGAGAGAGAGACAATCCCAAACAGGCTCTGCACTACCAGCGCAGAGCTCGATGCCGGGCTCAACCTCATGAACCATGAGATCATGACCTGAGCTGAAATCAAGAGTCAGATGCTGAGCCACCCAGGTGCCCCTGAAATTGTAGTTTTAGAATATCACTGCATGTTGTGTCAGGAAGCAGGAACTCAAAATGCTTAGCATCAGAGTCTGTACACTTTTGAGAGCAAAACATGAAAGAAGAATGGCTGTGCATGTTTTCTTTTTTTATGTTAGAGCATGAGCAGGGGAGGGAGGGAGGGAGGGAGGGAGGGAGAGAGAGAGAGAGAGAGAGAGAGAATCTCAAGCAGGCTCCATGTTCAGCATGGAGCCTGATGCGGAGCTTAATCCCATGACCCTGGCATCATGATCTGAGCTGAAATCAAGAGTCAGACACTCAACTGACTGAGCCACCCAGGTGCCCTTGTGTATATTTTTTAAACTTCCTCTTTGTCCTGTCCATCTTCTAGGTTTACAAGTGCCCAGATAACAATAGCATCACATGTATCATGTACTCTTGGTAGTGAAAATAAAAACTCACCCCTCCAATGTCTATAATATTCTGTTTTCCAATAGCAATTAAAACATGCTGCCTTATGTGAGTTTACATTTTTACTTTTGAAATCCATATTGAAAAAGTACAAATGATTAACTATCAGTGACTGATATACTGAAAATACATGAGCTACCACATTTCTCTCAACATTTAAAAGTATCTTGTTAACAGTCAGTTGTGTCTACTTTACTGAAACCATAAGTATATCTTTCCAGACTCCTCCCAGCCTCTGCCCTATACTCTTCCACTCTCTTAGCCATTCCTACCTGAGAGCTCAAGCCAGTTAGCTGTGTAACTCTAGGCAAGCCAAATGATTTCTTGAAACCTCACTTTCCTCATTTGTAATATAGGAATAATACCAATCTCTGTCTCAGAAGGTCCTTGTGAGGATTCCCTTACAATGTACGTAGAGTACTTTGTACACTATCTGGCATGTGGTAAGCCTTCAGTAAATTAGAGCAAGAAGGCTTCTTCCAGATTTTTTCTTTCTCAAAAATAAACAAACAAACCTGAAAAATTCTAGCATTAGGTCTAAAAGAAGATAAGGATGAATTGTAATCTCAAGCACTGTTGCAGTGGTGCTAGCTGCTTTGATAATGGGGTTAGGGCATTACCTGTGTCTTCTAGAAGATGTGAGGGGAATTCTTTGATTTATGTGTCGACAGGACTTGAGATGAAGTAATTGTCATCCTCTCCCCATAGTTGATGTTTAGCTCAAACTCATTTGTACTATGATCTTTCTTTCTTCCTTTATCCCTCCCAGATGAGTTCCAGAAACTGGGAATCCAGTGCTTTTACCATAACCCTTATCTGGTGAACTGGGCCAACTTGATATTCCTCTGCTGCCTGCCATCTCAGCTGCCTACTATCTGTCTGGAAATTCAAGCCCGCCTAGAAAAAGGTTGCATTGTGTACAGCTTCGCAGCTGCTATCCCAATAGCCAGGTATCCTGTTAGGGAGAGCACGGAACTGGCAGAACCATATCCCCTCATATCTGGCTTCTACCCCCCACCTCCACCCTGGCCCCCTACCTCATGGAGTTGGTCATTCCCGGTAATAAGGTAGAAGCAGCTTCTCCTGCCACACCCAGCCAGCCTTTCTAATTGTGTCTTCCCCACTTTTCCACAAACAGCACTTGTGGGTGGAACATTTTCTTTGATGTGCAAATGTTTAGAACTGCAATGGCGCATTGCTTCCCACTACTTGAGGCTGACTAGCGTTCCCCTTGTGCATTAATGGGAAGGGAAACCACCAGTGACCAACATGAAAAATGATTCACAGCATGTGTCAAATAATATTTTTGTGCCCCTATTGTCTAGCCTGGTGTTTGGCATGAGACAACATTCACTAAGTGTTAGTGGTTGAAAGAGTCCAACTAATAAGCAGTGCCCTCAGTGCTGCCTCCACCCATGTTTGCCCCTGAGCGGTGTTGTGCAGGGGAGGATGTTGTTGGGGTTGGATATGATCCAATGCAATGGATCCTGTGGTGGTTTATGATAGTCCTGGCCCAGCACTCCATGTCTTGGGGGATTTCCTTTCAGGTTGAAACTCCTGCTGAACCACACCAATATCTTGCGGCCTCAGTATCAGTGTGTTGAAGATTTTGTCAACATCTGGGGGGCCAATAAGGAGATCACAGCTGCTCTCCAAGATCCTGCGACCCTTCAGGCTACCTGCCCCTACAGTTCTGCTGGTAAAGGCTTGCTGTGTGTTTGGCACTCTTTTGAAAGTTACTTCCTCTCGGCCTGGTACTATTTTATAATCCCTGTGTGTGTGTGTGTGTGTGTGTGTGTCTGTCTGTCTGTCTTGGGTTATGTGTGTAGGGGGAGTACAAGCTGGATACATTCTCAGCTGTTTAGTTTTGAATGGGAACAGCTTTGGTAACAAAAAGCAGCCTCCATTAAGGAAAGCAGACAAGTCTGAGTATTTGGACCTGTTAAGGCTGAGCCAGAAACAGCCAGAGGGGAGAGCCTATTTAAACAGGAGGATGTGCTGTCTGGCATTAAATGGCATTTCCCTGCTCTAATCTTGCATTTTTCCTTAGTTTCTTCTCCTTATTGGGAGGATCATTCTAGAGATTTCTAGAGATGCTTTTGCCATTAGCAACGTCTACATTAGTCATACCTGTCCTCCTGTGGTGGGGTTGATACATGATTTGTTATAAAGGGCACAATCAGGGCTCTTGGCCCAGAAAGAGGAGTGTTTGCTTATCTTGAGGTTCATATGACCCACCTGTCTTGGAAAAAAGGTGACTGTTCTTTGTCCTGTGTTCCCGGCAAACCTTTTTGGTGGTGCTGACTGGTATTTCCCTTCCCATTAATGTGTAGGGGGAATAATCCTCAATATCAAGTGGTTGGAGGGAGTGTTCTACGCCATCCTAAACATCTGCACCGCAAAGGACATGCCCCACTTACAAGTGCTGCAACATCTGAATGAACTGTTCCTCTCTGTGCACTTTGAAGACTGTGAGAAGGATGGAGCATCTTGCCCCAAATTTCAATTAGGTGATTTTGTCAACCAAGTCTATACCAAGAACCTATCTCAGAAAAGGTAAGGCATCAGACAGCTGGCTATTCTAATTTCTCCCACACATCTTAGCAGATGCTTTTTCCTTTCACGTGATCTTTAAAATTTTATAAAAATAATACATTCTTGTGAAAAATCCAACTAGTGGAAGAGCGAAAGCTCTCCTTTGCTCCTCAAATACCGTTTCATAGACTTTACCTCCAGTGAGTTTTATATTTTTGTCTTTTAATCTATGTATTTACAAACATTTATATTATCATGGTATTATAATGTGTATGCGTATCTATATCTGTACATTTTTGAAACATGGGGACTATATATGCTGATTTTTCATTTACTATGTTGTGGATGCCATTCTACGTCAGTACAATCATATCTACTCTATTTATAAACAATGCATAGGGATCCATTGGGCATTTCATTGAATTTATTCATCTTATTTATTCTTGATGGTAATGTAGTTTCTCCCTGCCTCAAAATCTGAATAAGGGTCTGCATATGAACATTTTTATACATAGCTTGCACACTTGTACCAATATTTCTGCTGGATGAATATCTAGAATATTCTAGAAGAATATTTCTGGGTTAGAGGGTATATACATTTTATGTTTGATAGGTATTCCCAAATTGCTTATCAAAAACGTGGTGCTTAGAGCACCTGGGTGGCTCAGTCGGTTAAGTGTCTGACTCTTGATTTTGACTCAGGTCATGATCTTAAGGTTGTTGGGATTGAGCCCCATGTTGGGCTCTGCACTGACAGCGTGGAGGCTGCTTAGGATTCTCTCTCTGTCCTTCCCCTACTCGCATGCCTGCACGCACACACTGTATCTCTCTCTAAATAAATAAACTTAAAAAAAAATTCTTTAAAAAATGTGGTGCTTATTTACATTTCCACCAGTGTGTATGAGTGTGCCATTTCTCCATAGCTTGATAGCTATAAGAATCAACCTTTTTAATCTTTGATAATCTAATAGGGAAAAACTGTTGCCCTTATTACCAGTGACTTCCATGCCACTAAATTCATTTGGCAATTTTTTTTAAGTATTTTTTTAAACATTTATTTATTTTGAGAGAGAGAGAGAGAGAGAGAGCAAGCAGGGGAGGGGCAGAGAGGGAGAGGGAGACACAGAATCCGAAGCGGGGTCCAGGCTCTGAGCTGTCAGCACAGAGCCTGATGTGGGGCTCCAACCCATGAACTGTGAGATCATGACCTGAGCTGAAGTCAGAAGCTTAACCGACTGAGCCACCCAGGTGCCCGAACAATTTATTTATTATTATTTTTTTTAACATTTATTTATTTTTGAGAGACAGAGAGAAGCAGAGCATGAGTCGGGGAGGGGGAGAGAGAGAGAGAGATACAGAATCTGAAGCAGGCTCCAGGCTCTGAGCCGTTTGTTAGCACAGAGCCCGACATAGGGCTCAAACTCACGAACTGCAAGACCATGACCTGAGCTGAAGTCGGACGCTCAACCGACTGAGCCACCCAGGTGCCCCTCATTTGGCAATTTTTAATCCTCCTCTTCCTTGACTATTGAACCTGGAACTCTTGAATCCTTCTTGAAGCAATCTCTTTTCTTGGCTTTCATGATACCCTTAGGTTCTTCTCATTTTCTTCCTGTCTCTCTAGCCCCTCCTTTGCCAGCTCCTCTTTTGCCTCATCTTTATGTCTGGGAGTTTTCAGGGCTCTGTCCTAGGCCTTCTTTATTGCCATTCTACACTTTGTTCATGGGTGATCATTTCCAGTTCAGGGACTTAGGTTGCCATCTTTGCACTGACAGCAAATGACTCTTTCTCTAGCCTAGAGTCAACTCTCTACCCAAGTTAAGTTTGTAGTCACCATCTCCCCTCAAACTCAACATGTCCAGAAGCATACCTGCTCTCATACCTGCTCTGCTGGTGTTTCTTACCTAATTACATGCTCTTTTGCCAAGTTGTTTAAACAGAAGCCTGGAAGTAATCCTTGATTGTCTCCCATCTCTCGAATTCTAATTAATCACCAAAGGCCAGTGAAGCACTTCTAGTTTGGGGATTTCCCTTCACCCTTAGCCTGGGATTCCTTTCTCTCTCTTACATTGTATCTCTTTTTCCTGGATCCCTCTTCCTCTGGTATGGTTTACTCTTTCATAGTGGTGGATCATATCTTCTTTCGGTAGCTTCTTTTGAAAACAATGTAATTATAGAGACTGTGTCTGAAAATGTTTTTATTCTAACCTAATATTTTTTTTATTTTTTTATTATTTTTTTTTTATTTAAAAAAAATTTTTTTTCAACGTTTTTTATTTATTTTTGGGACAGAGAGAGACAGAGCATGAACGGGGGAGGGCCAGAAGAGAGGGAGACACAGAATCGGAAACAGGCTCCAGGCTCTGAGCCATCAGCCCAGAGCGTGACGCAGGGCTCGAACTCACAGACCGAGAGATCGTGACCTGGCTGAAGTCGGACGCTTAACCGACTGCGCCACCCAGGCGCCCCTCTAACCTGATATTTTATGAGAACATAGCCAGGTGTAGAATTCTAAGTTAGAAGTAATTTTGCCTCAGAGTTTTAAAGGCATTGCTTCATTGTCTCACAGAGTTGCTGGGTTTTTGTTTTTTTTTTAATTTTTAAATGTTTACTCATTTTTTGAGAGAGAGAGGGAGACAGAGCACGAGTAGGAGAGGGACAGAGAGAGAGATAGAATCTGAAGCAGACTCCAGGCTCTGAGCTGTCAGCACAGAACCTGACAAGGGGCTCAAACTCACGAACTGCGAGATCATGACCTGAGCCGAAGTTGGACGCTCAACTGTCTAAGACACCCAGGTACCCCTATTATTTTCCAAAGTCCTTATGCATTTATTTTTCATGTGAATTTTTAAAAAATGACTTTAAAAATTAGAAAAGTAACAAATGTTTATAGTAAATAGGATATCAACTAAAATGTACCAAACAGAAAGTGAAAGTACCTCCCTTAAATCCCATTTTCAAGAGGTAACTACTCTCAATATTTGCTGTGACAAATGAACTTGAAAATAGGCTATGTTTTTAATGTTAAATTACTGAGTAGGATGTTTTCTCTTGGCTTCTGGCACTATTTATAAAGTTGAAAGATTCCTTCTTAAATGAAGGAGTGGTAGAATATCATCATTTTGTAAACTCTAATGAAATAATCTAGGCAACTATAGGTGAAAAGTTGATGGGGGAGCTTTATAATGAATAGATCAGACTGAATCCATTAATCAGTCTTAACACTGCAGAAAGAGAGACAATGTATTTCTGGATAAAAATAGATACAGATGAAATACTCTTACAAAAAACCCCAGAATTTGATCAAGTATAGATATAAATTCAAGAGACAGGAAAATGTTAAATGACCATGAGATATTATCAGCAAAATCTAGAATATGGGAAATTTTAGAGGATAAACAACCTAATTTCTTCAACAAAAAAACTGCAAGGAAAAAAAAGAGGAAGGGGAACTTATAGATAAAAAAAAAGACTTGAAAGTCCCTATACATGTGTTGATCTATATACCTTAATAAGTTGAAGAGGATATCTTTTTTCTTTTTTTTTTAATTTTTTTTTTTAACGTTTATTTATTTTTGAGACAGAGAGAGACAGAGCATGAATGGGGGAGGGTCAGAGAGAGAGGGAGACACAGAATCGGAAACAGGCTCCAGGCTCTGAGCTGTCAGCACAGAGCCTGACGCGGGGCTCGAACTCACGGATCACGGACCGTGAGATCGTGACCTGAGCTGAAGCCGGTGCTCAACCGACTGAGCCACCCAGGCGCCCCTCTTTTTTTCTTTTAGTGCTTTTTATTAATTTTTAAAAATTTTTTTTTTTCAATGTTTATTTATTTTTGGGACAGAGAGAGACAGAGCATGAATGGGGGAGGGGCAGAGAGAGAGGGAGACACAGAATCGGAAACAGGCTCCAGGCTCTGAGCCATCAGCCCAGAGCCCGACGCGGGGCTCGAACTCATGGAGTGCGAGATCGTGACCTGGCTGAAGTCGGAGGCTTAACCGACTGCGCCACCCAGGCGCCCCTTAGTGCTTTTTATTAATTTTTGATAGAGACAGAGTGTCAGCTGGGGAGGGGCAGAGAGAGAGGGAGACACAGAATCTGAAGCAGGCTTCAGGCTCCAAGCTGTCAGCACAGACCCCGTTCATGAACCCGTGAGATCATGACCTGAGCTGAAGTTGGACGCTTAACAACTGAGCCACCCAGGCACCCCATTTGTTGAAGAAGATATCTTTAAAAAAAATTTTTTTTTTAGTATTTATTTTTGAGACAGAGTGCAGGTGGGGGAGGGGCAGAGAGAGAGAGAGAGAGAGAGAGAGAGAGAGAGAGAGGGAGAGGGAGAGAGAGAAGGAGACACAGAATCCGAAACAGGCTCCAGGCTCTGAGCTGTCAGCACAGAGCCCGAGGCAGGGCTCAAACTCACCGACCATGAGATCATGACCTGAGCCAAAGTAAGCCGCTTAACCGACTGAACCACCCAGGCACCCCTGTTGAAGAGAACAGCTAAAAAGAAATGAGATCTTTTGTATTCCTAATGTCCATGATCCTCTTACATATTCTGTTTCTAAATTCAAGGGAAATATACTGAAAAGAACATCAATGTCATTATTATAATCATTCTTTAATTAATTATGAATTCCTGCACACTTAGAAAAATGTGCATAAGTACAAAAATCATAAGTACAATTAAATCCACATAGTGAATAGTTCTAGCTGAATGTTTAACTATGAATTTTAATTAGTTTGATATAAAAATAAAGTACCTTATTTCCTGTTCTGTTTAACAGCCAAATCAGATGTACTGAACAGATGTTAAAAAGTAACAGTATTTTTTTTTCACTCCAGGCCTTTCCCCTGGTTTGATCTGACTGCTGTGCAACTCAAGGAAACTCCCTTTAGTCAGCAGCTCTCAACCAGTACTGCTCTCCAGGACCACCTTACCCTTCTATACTGTGATTCATTTGGCATCTCCCTAACCAAAAAACAGCAGCCAGTGGTCTCCAGAGGCTCTCCCTCCCAATAAGAGAAGAGACCTCAGGAATCAGGATTCTTTTCCCTTCCACAATGGTTGTACCCTGATTATCACAATTCACATTAGGAATCATGTGATTACATTGTGTTTGCCACATGTTGGGCATTAAGGAATTAGAAAATTATACTGATGTTCTTTAAAATATAGAATAAAACAAGAAGTCTTTTACATCAGTATATTTGGGTATGTCTGGCTTTTGGAAGCAACCAAAAGAAACTATATAACCTGACACACTTAAGTAAGCCGCTTCCCTAGGAAAGCCGTGTTAATATAAATTATTTCACTTCTAAAAGCTAAATTATTAGCTGTTTAGACTATATATTGCAGCTTGTTCTCCTGTAGCAGTGAGTAGCTGACAAACGATACAGCTTGCTTTTCCTACCATTTTGGATAAAGAAGTAAAATGTGTGGTAAACAATCTTAATTGAATTATGACTCATTTCATGCTTATTTCAGCTATATATGACTGTTCTGGAATTATCTTATTTAAAGCTGTTCCCATTTAAACCATTTTATTTTTTATTTGTATTTACTTTTTTAATGTTTTATTTATCCTTGAGAGAGAGAGAGAGAGAGAGAGAGAGAGAGAGGAGCATGAGCAAGGGAGGGGCACTGTGAGAGAGGGACACAGAATCCAAAGCAGACCCCAGGCTCTGAGCTGTCAGCACAGAGCCCGACGTGGGGCTCGAACTCACGAGCCGTGAGATCGTGACCTGAGCTGAAGACAGATACTTAACCGACTGAGCCACCCAGGCGCCCCCATTTAAACCATTTTAAACCACAAAACCAGGGGTGCCTGGGTGGCTCAGTTGGTTAAGCGTCTGACTTCAGCTCAGGTCACGATCTCGCAGTCCACGAGTTCGAGCCCCGTGTTGGGCTCTGGGCTGATGGCTCAGAGCCTGGATCCTGGTTCCGATTCTGTGTTTCCCTCTCTCTATGCCCCTCCCCCGTTCATGCTGTGTCTCTCTCTGTTTCAAAAATAAATAAAAGTTAAAAAAAATTTTTTTAAAAAAATAAACCACAAAACCATTTTTATAAATGGCTGGCATTTATATTACATGGCTAAAAATAGTTTTGCAAAACATAGATCTTATTCCTACACTGCAAAGTTATTGCCTTTACATTTTGCAAATACTTTATGTCAGTTATAATAGAGTAGAAAACAATAGCAGTGACCATCAGGTTGAGAAAGGAGGACACTGACTATGCTCTGTCATTGAACAGGACAATTGTTTGCTAAACGCTAAAGTGCTTTTGAACAAAACCATTCACTATACTTGTAAACCACCATTGTGTTAGATTAATCATTTACATTTTCTCTTTTGCATAATTGTGAGCCAGGCAAACTCAATGGTATGGTGTAGAATGGTTTGAGATAAAATTTCATTGATCCAATGTGGGAAAAAAGTAGGTGCATCATCAAATGTTAACAGTTGGTACGAATGCTAACTGTTGAGGTACTGTTCCTTTTCTCAGTACAAAAAAAAAAAAAAAAAGAAATTGATTCCTTTGACTATTCATTCAGGTGTAGGGAACTGGACAGGGTACATCATTGCCTTTCTGGATTATGGTAGCTCTTTAGTGGCTTTTAGGACTAAGAAGGGAGTCTGGGAAGAGAAAGAACAGTTAAGCTTGTAAACTAGAGAGGAACTGGAGTCATTCAAGCAACACGAACTATTTTATCTTTTTTTTTGAGCAGTCAGTTATGGGTAGACTCTGAATTCATTCATTCATTCATTCTTTCATTCAATTTCTTTCTTTCTGTTTCTTTCTTTCTTCTTCTTTCTTCTTTCCTTCCTTTTTTTCTTTCCTTTTTCTTTCTCTCTTTCTTTCTTTCCTTTCTTTTCTTTCCTTTACTTTCCTTCCCTTTCCTTTCCTTCCTTTCTGTAAACCTTACCCCCAACGTGGGGCTCAAACTCATAACCCTGAGATCAAGAGTTGCATTCTCTACTGACTGAGCCAGCCAGGCACACCCTGAATTTTATTTTATAAAGGTCTGGAAAGTACCACATAAAAGAGCCTGGTAAACAAACTCCAGTCCGTATTCCATAGTCCAGTGGTACTCCTATAAGCCATGTTGTTTGTAAGGATAAATATAAATTTTAAAAAATATTAAAATTTTTTTCTCTGATGCAAAAAATGAAAGAACTCCCCTCCTCCCTTTCCTTACAACATTTCCTTTACAAAACATGTAATTTAAATCATTTTTCTGTTTTTGACATGTACATAAATCCTCTAAAAAGTTGAGTAAGTCACCTACCAGTTTTACATCCCAAGACTGTCTGTTTGGGGGGCTTTGGGGCCATCTCTTTGAAATGTGAGCATTAAGGAGGATGGCACCTTATCTCTTGGGCCTAAGTGCCTGGCTCCAATAGTAACTTCATGTTTGTCATAAAGATATGAGAAGTTTTCTTTTTCTTTTGGATACAGACAATTAACATGTAAGTAATGGATTCTGGCTGGCTGGCTATATAAAAGGGTGAGATCTCAACTTTGCAGTCTTCTTTAGCAGCTTGCTTGTGATATACATCACTGACTGATTTAATGCTGATTCAATAATACAACTGTTTCTTTTTCTTCATTTGTCGAGAAGATTAGGTTGGCAGGAGATTTTACTTTTAATTCCATTTCCCTAACATGTTCCTATACCAGATACATTACTGAAATTTATCAGGAATCCTTAAAATTACCCAGAAAGAGAAATATTGATATCTTTGTTTAAACACGGAGCTAAATTGAAACCCAAATAAAAGGAAGGTGCTGCGAGGTGCTGACAGAACTAGGGGTGGAGCCAGGAGTTCTAACTCTGATCCTTAATGAAGAAGATAAAAAGAGAACCCAAAAGACCATACTTCTTCCCCCAAGTAGTTTAGTTTGATCTTTCAGGTAAGTGAAATGGCTCTTCCCTACGGTTCAGTGTAATACAATGCTTCATTCTTTTCAGGGGCAGTTACTTTTGGAGCATAGTCCTGTAATCCTGCTGCTTGCACAAATTCAGATAAGGTCAAGGAATCAGATTTTACCCCAGTATGACCTTTTTGCTCTAAAAATAAGCCTATATTGTCCCTGTAGGGAAGGGTGATGGTGCGTCTGAATAATGGCTCTTCAATTCGCAGTAGCTCCCGTGTATGCCGAGAAATTACCTAAAATACAAGAACAATTTTTTAATGGGGTTAACTGAAAATATAAATTAAAGAAGCTTTATTTATTTTCCTAGGCCTTTTGAATGGTAACCTTTTAAGTTATTTCTAAGGGAAAATAAAATAATGAAATAACACATGGAAATGCTTACTAGCCTGGCCTCAAAATAAAGTCCTTATAAGAAACATCAAATGATATATTACCTTTTTATAAGTTCCATTTAAAGGTGTTTCTAGGCTCTTGGCAATGGCTTGCCATGGATGGGTTAATTTCTTTCTTTTGGCTGAGCAATCTGATCAGCCATATGAGCAGATAATATGTTCAGATTAAGAGCCATGACTGTCTCTGGGAAGGTTAATAAATAACTTGTCTATAAGGGGCTCAGTTAATTTGCAATTAACAAAAAAATAATAACTCAAATAGTTACTTAATTTGTTTGACTAAAAACAAATCTCAAACACTAAAAAGCAGACATTAAAGTTCCAGCTGTTTTATTAGAATTAGAGATCCAAATTACTATAGGTGGCTCTTAAGAATTCTCATTTGTAATTGATGCTGGTACACCGAGCACCTTGTTAGGTCAGCACCTCACCCTGAGTGCCCCTGACCAGAGCAGGTTCTTTCACAAATTCACTGAGGTTAACAGATGGTGCCCCCAGGAGGGACCCTGTAATCATAGACAGATTTATTCACTATTAACCAAAAGAACTATGTGCCTACTGCAGGCTGAGAGAGCCCAATACTGTTTAATATTCTAATGCAGAAATTAAAAGTGTTACAAAGCTACTGGTTAGATGTGGAATCAGGAAATAAAATCTAACCATTTCTCATCTAATTCTATGTCTGAAGTTCATCAATGGACCATGAGGGACCTTTGATGGGCTATAAATTAATATAAAACTGTGAGTTCTTTCATTAGTTCTGATAAATGATAAGCAGCAGATCTTATTTTTGCCAAAGACTTAGAGCAATTTACTAGTAACTTACTTAAGTTAGTAAGGATTACAGGAATACAGATATTTATGAAGATTATAAGAGTTTCCTAAGGATTCTTAATTCTGCGTTCTAGGATGGAGCCTCATGCTCAATGCAAATGGTCTCATGCAGAATCTGTAATAGTTCTAGTTTTCAAGAGGATTCTATTATTACTATATCATCATTGTATTCTGTGTTGATTATGGTTTTTAAAGGCTGCTATTCTTTTATTTGTAAGCTACGGATAGTTTTGCTTCATCATTAACAATATAATACATACTGTTTGTGGTTACCTTATGTATGTAACTATGCACGTTTACATAATTGGAACCTATAATTAAACCTAAAGATGTCGGGGTGCCTGGGTGGCTCAGTCATTTAAGTGTCAGACTTCGGCTCAGGTCATGATCTGGTGATCCGTGAGTTCGAGCCCCGCATCTGGCTCTGTGCTGACAGCTTAGAGCCTGGAGCCTGCTTCCGATTCTGTGTCTCCCTCTCTCTCTGCCCCTCCCCAGCTTGCGCTCTCTCTCTTTCAATAAACATTACAAAAATTTTTAAAAAACCCTAAAGACGTCATCATTATGGTTCAAATATGAATTATCTATACCACCATTATTAAAACAGATTGTATAGTCTCCTTAAAATCTGCTTGTTGATTCATATAATAACGTTGATTAAACTTTTTTTTAAGGTTATTTATTTATTTTGAGAGAGAGGGCGGGGGGGGGGCGTGCAGGGGAGGTAAGGATCGGAGTGGGAGAGAGAATCCCAAGCAGGCTTCATGCTGTCAGCACAGAGCCTGATGGGGGGCTTGAACCCACAAACCATGAGATCATGACCTGAGCCAAAATCAAGAGTCAGACACTTAACTGACTGAGGCTTCCATGTGCCCCAACAATGTGGATTAATCTTAAATGCATTTTGCTAAGGGAAAGAAGCCAGACTCAAAGGCTATATATTATTTGATTCCATTTATATGACATTCTGGAAAAGGCAAAACTATAGGGACTAAAAACAGATTAGTGGTTGCCAGGGATTGGGGTGAGGGGATAGGCTGACTACCAAAGGGACACAAGGGGGACAGAATTGTTCTTTATGGTTCTGTGTGGTGGATACATGATGCTGTGCATTTGTCAAAACCCACAGAACTACAGACTGCAAGGAGTGACTTTACTATATGCAAATTAAAAAAAAAATTTTTTTTTTAACGTTTATTTTATTTTTGGGACAGAGAGACAGCATGAACGGTGGAGGGGCAGAGAGAGAGGAAGACACAGAATCGGAAGCAGGCTCCAGGCTCTGAGCCATCAGCCCAGAGCCCGACGCGGGGCTCGAACTCATGGACCGTGAGATAGTGACCTGAGCCAAAGTCGGACGCTCAACCGACTGAGCCA